TTGTCCCATTTACTCAGCTGCCCTTTTTCATATTTGATTTCACTGGATGCTCACCTCAGACACCGTATTTATAATGTTTATGTGTGCGTGTGGCTGGGATAGACTCCAGCCCCCCCGCAACCCTGTGTGCAGGATGAGCGGTTTGCAGATGGATGGATGGATGTGTGTGTCTTCGTGCAATATGTGTGTCATGTTATAAAGTGGGAGTCACTGCTATCTAATAAATAATACTTGATGCAATAATAATCAATAATAATAATAATCAATGATATGATTGTTAGGGTGTCGGAAAATGTTCCCTCAAAATGTCCCAGGGCCCCTGCTTTAAGTATCTTTGTGTTCATACACATAATAGACATTATTGAGTGGCATTTTATTAAATCGCAGTATTGTTAAGTTCAGAGCAGTAAAGGATCCAAATGCTTCCTTTCTTCCTGCTCAGCTGTGCATGTTGCTGCACATGTGTGTAATTAACCACATTTAAATCCCTCCAAAAAAAAGTCCCTTTTTTCTTTCTTTAATATTGAGAACAGAAATCTATAAGAAATGAGGAAAGAAAGGTGTGAAAACATTCACAGTGGCAGGGAGCGAATGTCCAGAAGGTGCGTGTGTGAATGGGTTGTGGGGCTGCTGGAGCGTGGTGAGGTTGGGTTTGTGCAGGAACATGCTAGAGGATAAGGCGTGTCCCCTTTGGCTGAAGCAGCGCAGCGTAAATCCAGCAGTGCCATCTGATGCCTGTGTTTGTGACGGTGCAACAGCGTGCGGCAGAAGCTGAGAAGAGATCTGGCCGCTATAAATAGCCGTTGTGTTAAAGAGGCACGTTGTAAATATAGTGCCCTGGTGTGGTGTCACTTTACACACCCACCACCACCATCACCACCACCACCCCGTCTTGTTCTCAGCTCCAGCCTCTGTACCGGACTCCTCTTAACTGTTTCATTATGCCAGAGTGCGTCATGAGCGCTGGAAAAAAAATACTTTAAAACACAGGAAGAAAGAATGAAATGAAAGACGGGGGCTGGCAGCAGTGTAATTGGACAGATTAAGCTGAAAGTGTGTGTGCGTGTGTGTTTGTGTGTGTGTAATATCACTGCGGCCAGGATTCCCTGAGTCCTCCGGTGTCTGCAGATTTTGGAAGATTCCAAAGGACAAGAGGAATGAGAGGGAGGTGATCCTCCACTCACTTCTTTCCCTCCTCATCCTTTCATCTTCTCTCCTACCTTCCATCTCCCTGCCTAACCTCTCCACTGCTCCTGCTCCTTCCTCCTCCTCCTCCTCCTCCTCCTTTCCATTCCCGCTTCTTCTTCTCTCTCGTTACTTCCATTGGCTCCTCATCATCTCTTTCTCCTCCTCTCCATTCCTTTCCTCCAGTTTCTCCCCTGTCCTCCCTTTTGACTCCTCTCCTCTTTATTTCCACTCCTAGTTTCCTCTGCTCATTCTTTCCATTCAATCTTCTTTCCTCGCAGCTTCTATCAAATCATCTCATCTCTTCTTTCTCTTGTGTAATCCTCTTTCCTCCTGTCCTGTTATCTCTTCTCTAACTTTGTGCCTCTTATTCCTGCTCATTCAACTGTATTTCTTTCTCCTTTCCTCTCATCTCCTCTCCATTAACCTCCTCTCCATTCTTTTACTTTCTTCTCAACCCTTTATTATTTTTGCTCATCCATGTTACCCTTTTTTCTTTTCTTTACCATAAACCTGTTTTCTGGGTATGGTGTTGTCATTGTGTCCACTGGTCCTGTGTGTGTGTGTGTGTGTGTGTGTGTGTGTGTGTGTGTGTGTGTGTGTGTGCGTATGGCTAGAAGAATTCCTCCTATCGCATATAAAGTCCTTCCTATGACATCACTCAGTGACGTCCCCTGACATTCGGAAGGCCGCTGAGCCAGCTTTTAAGGGCACAGTGTGAGCGTATGTGCTTGCACATCTGGCAAAGATTTTCAAGATTTTTTTTTGTTCTTTCCTTTTCAGTGACTTTTTTACAAGACAAAAGTCGGACACTCTCAGTCTGTCTCTCCCACACACAAATAATGAAACACACACACACACACTGACACACAAACACTATGTGACGCAACAGCCACTGGTCATGTTCCCAAGGTCCTGTTCTCAGAGCTGACTAGAGGCCTTTGTCTACGCTTACTTTAAAAATAAAACTGGAGCAGGGTTACCACACACGCACCCACACACACACACACCATCACTTAGTCTTTGTGCGTGAACTAAGCCTGACCCGAGGTGGAAAAGGAGTCCACTGCCAACTTATGATGCTGTTTAAGTAAAGTGTGTATGTGTGTGCATTTGTACTGCCATACCGTATCCACATGTGCATAATTCCACTCAGCCTCCTCCTTAAAGTGCAATTATTGGCTTGTGTAACACCCATGTGTATATGAGCACACACACACACCTTGAAGATGATCACACCACCTGCCATTTTACAGCTGCGCATAGAAACATGATCCCCACAAACTACAGGACCAATATTAAACCCGTCAAGCTCTTCATAGCTTGAGGAGACTTTCTGTTCTGACAGTGTTACTTACTCACCCTCCCCAACACTCCCATTACAGTACTGCAGGAACATCCCAGTTCAACACCTGGGAGGATTAAAGGTAAGAATCAGAATCTAGTTTCACTATAACTTCATCCACTACCGCGAGACATTACCGCTTTTCTTGACCGCTGCAAGGACATTTTTGGTTATTGAAGGTGCTTGGAATTTGAGAGCTAAATAGCACGTTTCCACCTGCCAGCAAGGCTACGCCTTCTGCCAAACATTCATCCAAACTATACAAATTACCCTTTAAGTACCACACGTGTTTACATTACTATGATGAACGCTGACACAGGAGGTTAAAATCTACGCTGTGCCATGTTTTACCAATTGAAAAACACTCAGCTAAAGAAACACTTAATTAGCTTTGTCAACTAACTCCGAGATCCCTTCCCTTCTCCATTAGCTTCTCCTCCAAAAACACCTCAGCCACAAATTGATCATTGCCTTCCTGGGGGCTTCAAGGGTGCATGTTGAAACAAGTACATATTCTAGTAAGAGCTCTTGCAGTGGATTAGCCAGCTTTGCCCCAACAAGGCCCAAGAGTTTCACATCAGCAATAATAAAGGCAGCAAATGGAAGAGCCAATTGGTTAAAAACTAAAACTCCCCCATTCTTTTTCCATTATCATATCAGTTCCAACTCTTTATTGATGAAGTAAAAGGCTGACATTTACACAATAAATTGCATTGTGAGCATTGGCAGGGCTCTCCGAACTCTTCAGTCTCTCATTTTTCTTGATTGAGAAAAATGACTGCCCTGGTTTCATGTAATGTGCGAGTGCAGGCAGGTCGGCGGTCGGGCCACATCACAAGGCAAACCCTCCTCGGGACACTCTGAAACCTTCCGAGGAGCCGGGTAACCGCGAGGACCTTCAGGGGTGGGTGTGGGGGGCACCTGCTGAATCAGGCGCTTCTACGCCACAGAGTGTGATGGAAACCGATCCACTAATATCAGTCGTGTAGCTATTAGTGTCCTGTACTGCTGTCTGTTAACACTGTAACCTGGCGCACACGCGCGCCGCTCTATAAATGCACACTCACGCGGTGGCTGTCGTACATAACTGATCTGGTTTCAGCTGCACAAACCTTCCCGGCAACACACTATACAAGCGCGTAGGTCCACACACACACACACACACACACACGGGTTTGGCCGTGGCTCTCAGTAGTAGACACTTGAAAGGACACCCTAGAGAGGGGTCCTTTTCACAGTAATAGTGCCCGGCAGCACTTAGCGTGGACCGGGTGGCTCACTCCCACTGTAGTGAAGGGGGTGAGGGTTCTCGATTCCACTGCAGCCCCGCTCTTCCCTTCCCGCCGAGTGGGGGGAAGAAGAGTCTTTCATGGACACAGCACTTCACCGGCTGCGCGCTCACGCACACTCCAGAGCACTCACTCACCCATCGTCAGCCGTGGAGTGTCGAGATCTCAAATTTGAGTGAACGAACAAGTGGGAATTGGCGATGAGTGTGAAATATTTCTGATTATATTCAGATGGTTCACACTCAAAATGCTGAAACTCAGCTGCCACAACAGAATGGACACATGCAACAAATGCCCAGCATACACACACAGATGGATCAGTGCTACTTGGAGTAAACTCTACAAGGCTGCTGGAGGGATGAGCCACGTCTGCTGCTTACCTTCAGATTGTAAAGATGGAGGGTCGTCGCTATAACTTTCCAGGGTTAGTACATTTTTCCACGGAATGTTGTGAACCACAGCTTTGTTGTGGCAGCTGATCCTATTCTATTGTCTCCCTGATACCTGAAACAACAACAGGTCCCACACCAACACATCCTCTTTTGTTTATTTGATGTAGTGCTGTTTCTGGTCTGAACACAAAAGTCTCCCATTGCTGTTCAATTTGGTGGAGATCCAGTAGTTGCAAATGCTATAATGCCCTCGTCCCCTGTATGGAAGTATCTTTATTTCTTATTCTATACATCTTACATATTTTTTTGAAACATATGCAAAGATGAATATGTATAAAAGAAAACATACTTCCTTTAGGGACTGTTCTGTGTGCTGACCCACATGGGCGAATTACCTCAGTTCCTGTTACGAGATGAGAAGAAATGTTGAAAGAGTCTCAACATTGTGGCAATGGTTTGGGGATGGTTCCTTTATGTTTTAACATCACTATGTCAGGTGCTGCAATGAACTCTGTGTGGTCCTTAACCCCAAAACACACCTTTATGATGACCTGGCCATGAATGACTTTGCTGATGTAGCACTTTATATTAAAGCCCATAGTATTGGTTTTCCACTTTCCACAAACGTACGAGGATTTACTGTGGCGTTTAGGTGTCCACATACGTAGGAGAAAAAACCTCTGCTGGTTCTTCCCCAGCTGACTCTTTGTTGTCTAAACACAGTGGAGTTTCGGACCCTCGCTTTACCCTCATTGTGGAAAAATGAAGAGGCTGTGGGTCTTAGACGGACGGGCATGAGAGCAGCGTGAGGGTAAGAGGAGGTTTGATCACCTCTCACCTCCACAGCATGTACGCGGGATAAGCATGACATCGTCTCTCAACAGCTTTTCTCCTATGTGTCCCGTCCTTGCTCGTCTCATATCTCCTGAACATATTAAACATATTGTGTAGCCTCCGTGGTATTCCCGGTTGCCTTTGCCAGCTCAGCATCACCGTTGGAATTCATCCCTCGTGGTTTGGCACATTTCAGATTATAGCAGCATTCCCTGCTGCTCAGCCTCGACGTAAATTCAGCTCATCAAAGAGGATATCTGGGCTTTTAGACTGTGTGTTTCTTGGCTGAGGATCTAGACAAGATGACCGTAACACTAAGCCTTTAGGAATCAGGAAAATAGTTCTCGGGATGCCTGGAATTCCTTCCGGAAACCTTACTGTCTGACACAGGCGGTGTATTAAAATGTGTGTGTGTGTGTGTGTGTGTGTGTGTGTGAGTACATTTGAAACAGAGAGGGTGAAAGTAATTGGCTCTACCTCCCTCTCTTCCTTTTGAGGCCAGAGCTGACTGCAACTACTCACAAGACTAAAATTATGGGACAGTTATTCGGAGAAGCCTATTATGGTATGAGGACACAACATGTCTCACCCCCACACACACACATAAACACACCACTTTACACCATTGCAGTTGATAGTAATCAGGCTGTTCCAGTGTTATCGGACCAGAATGGGATGCTGCTGTGGATTCCTCAGATACCTAAGTGGTCAGGTTTATTCCTCCATTGAGACATTGCAGACACTTGCCTAATAGCAGTCCGAAGTGCAACAAAACATCATTTGTGATTCGCCCGTTGCCTCATGAAGTCATGCGGAGGAAAAAAGACAAAGTCACAGACGAATGGAATGCAGAGGGAAAGTCAAGCGAGGGACAGAGGATGAATCTGTCAGAGTATTGACAAACCTTTTAACCTCGTTAGCATCAGTTCAGAGCCAATTTACAGTCTGTTGACGTCATAAAAAGAGTTTTCGCAGTAATGTGCAACGGTAAACAATGTCCCAAAAGATGATCTAATTAATGTTCACAGGAGATGCTTTGGGTTATGATTTTATACTTCAGCCACAAAATAACTCAATTTAAATCAATTACTTGTTGTAGCTTCCGTTGTCCTGAATAGTTGAAGGAAAAAGAAGAAAATTCGAAGAATTTGTTCACCCTGAAGGCATAAAAGAAAAATAGTGAAAAGTCCCAACCTAACTTGACTTTGATGTGCATCGAAGCAAAAAATATATATCTGTTCATGAACACTTCCTAAACACAATCATCTTCCTATGATAACTATTTAAAACGCTTAAGACGTGTGTCTAGACTTGTACAAGCACGTAGCAAGTAAGTAGGCGTGTTTTAAGTAATGAGATGGATTTTGATGGAGGTAGAAATATCAAAACTGATAGCCAGCAGTATAAGTCAAGCTTTTATTTTAGCTTTACAAAGCTCCTCCAGAGACATAGAAGACATTGTATATTTGTTTTTACCATAACTTGTAAACTGTAAAATCTATAGAAAATCAGTGGAGCCTTCCTTTGAGTACAATCTTATTACTACTGATTTAAAATAAATCAGAATAATTGAGATTATTCAGATGCGGCTGGGATCACCTGTCTTTCAGTGTGTGTCTGTTGTTTGATGTATCGTGATTTCCGCTGAGACGGTTGAAACAGCGGTCGTGGGTAAGGTCCAGGATATCAACGTGATGTTGGATGAACAGCAAAGAGGCCCACCTTGTGGGACGTTACAGCGGTTTAGAGAGAAAGAACATGACATGCTTATCTTACATCCCTCTCTCTCACACACACACACACACACACACACAAAGGACTCATGTGAAATTAACCAATATGTGCAGTTGGGCGTCACTCATTTCTGCTGGGAGCAAGACACGGCCCCCCCACCACACACACACACACACACACAGACACAAAAACACACTTGTTCAATGCCAGATTCAGAACAAATGCATAATACATAATACAGTTGGCAAACTATCAGTCCATTTGTCAAACTCTGATTTGTTTTAAACCATAATGTAGCACACACTAATGCTTGTTTCCCCGCTGCTGGAAACTCACATCAGAAGTGAATAGCGCCATTGAGATCACTCTTTTTCCATTTTGTTTTAATGGCACAGGTTTTTTTTAATTTTCTCTTACTCTGGCTGTGGAGAGCCATTCTACTTCGGGCTGCGTGTTTTTTCATTTCATATTTTTTTCATAGAAACCCTCCATCACCCGTTCCCACAACTCACCTACAATAACCCACGAGGGACAGCCGATGTGTTCAAATACGAATAACTGTCAGACTTTTAAAAAGGGTAAAAAGGATTCTCCTAAATTGCTGTGCAATAAATCCACAGCCGAAATTGACCTTGAGGTCGTTTCTGCGTCTCACGAAGCGCATACATCTGTTCAGGTGCAACCTCCGAATATCTCTGACACATCGCTCAGATATCGTCATTTCGGCGAAATGAGTCCACGGAGAAGCAGAGCCGGCTGACCGATATCGGGGTCATTCCGCAGATGAATGGCCAGTCACTCGTATTGAAAGCTTTGATCCCAAAATGACCTGCTGATCTTCCATTGTGTGTTAATGTGTGTGTGTGTGTGTGTGTGTGTGTGTGTGTGTGTGTGTGTGTGTGTGTGTGTGTGTGTGTGTGTGTGTGTGTAACATCTACATAGAGGCTTCCAGCACTATAATAACGAGCATACGGTTGGCGTCACACACAGCTCATATTAACCCCATGGCTCTTTCTGTGCCTGCAAGATTTGGTGGTTTTGTCTTAGTCTCTGTCTCTGCAAATGTACACACACATTTTGATGTACTCGTGCGATGGTAATTTAAGTGATTTACTCCTGTTATGGCTGATTATGTTGAGTGAGTGAGTCACAGAGGGAATAAAAAATAAAAGAGTCTTTGGCTCAGAGCTACGACTTGAGTGTTGCCTCGCTCCTCTCATGTAACCTCATCAACCATCTTTATCAAGCCCCGGACCCTTTGGTGACTGTCTAAAACTTTTGCGGTCACCGCCCTGAGAGAAGCCATGCACCAAGAGCATGGCCTCTCTCAGGGCCTCACACTCCCGAAGCCGCTCAATAAGAACGATTCATGCTTTGACACTATTGGCAGTATAGGCGGTAACAGAATGAGACATTGTTACTTGTACACATTTACAGTAGGCCGATGTGGGTGAGCCAGAGGTGAGCCAGAGACCCCAAGAAATCTCAATCCAATTTCACAGAGAACTTCAGTGCAGAAGAAAAATCACAGCAACACAACGAGATGTTTCAAGAGCAAAGCTTCAGCCTCATCCCGTCGATCCCCATCTGCCCTCCCCGCGTGAATCCCTCTCTCTTGCTAAAACCAGATCCATGAGTGGCTCCCGAAGATATCTAACCTGGCAAGCATATGAATGTGTGTGTGCGTGTGTGCGCGCGTGTGTGTGTGTGTGTGTGTGTGTGTGTGTGTGTGTGTGTGTGTGTGCGTGCGTGTTTTCCTCGGGTCGTCCCACAGGGGATACGTGTGTCTTGTCTGTGAGTCACAGGCCGGCTCTGTGTCTGTGTAGCCGTCCATCAGAACACATCAGCATCAACATCCCCTAGTTTACCCACAGGCAGGCACACATCCCCCCCTCCAACACACACGCACAGAAGCTAACACACATTGCACATCGTCAAACCTCCCCAGGGCTACGTGCTATTCCCCCACATCCCCTCAAGCTGAAACCTCAGTTTCCGTCCTCACCTCACTTTCAACGTCGGATAGGCTGTTTCACACTGGACAACTGCTAGCATATGCTTGTCGCCCGGTAAACACAAAGAATCTTCCCAGGACTGGATGGCAAACACACACAAACACACGTACACAAAGTTTTAAAGACATTCAAACTACATTATGGCGTATATGGCATTGGTCTGCAATTGGACAAAAAATGAAAATCCTGACAAATTGCACATCAAAAATAGAAAAATGAGTTTCGTCCTGACAATAATGTTTCCCACAAATATTTTTGACCTAATCCTATTCCCACAATTGTTGAATAACTAATATAAAGACATAATTTCTTGAAAAAAGCATTTTAAAAAAGCAGGAAGAAGGAAAAAAATAATGGTCAACTAAATATGCAGAATAGACCACTGGAAAACCTTTTTAATTTATTGAATAAGTAAAATAATACGTTTTGATGTTAGGTTAAAGCAAATTTGTTTTGCATTTACGGATCGACAGAGCCTGCAAAAGCAACCGACAGAAACAGGGAAAGAGACAAAGAGACAGAAGCAGCAGAGTAGAGTACGGACGTAGAAGCTCACTGAGTTGAATAGCAGGATTTTATTCTGAGTGCTTAGCAAGGCTCTTTGCGCTGAGAGTCATTATGAGTCTATGACACAGATGAATGGAACATTAGCATAAGGGAGTACCTGACATGACACACGGCACACACGACCCACTCTCCTCTTTATCGCCTTTCTTGCACCAAAAGTGGACTGCGACATATTTGTCCTGCCTGCAGCGTGCGTCCGCTTGTTTATGTGGCATGTTCACATGAGTGTGTGACTTCAGAATCCCCAGCACAGTTTGTCCCATGAAAAGAGGATAGGCCATCATACTCAATCAAGCTGCCTCGGACCGCCGTTAAAACGGTATGCAGGCTGTGTGTGTGTGTGTGTGAAGAGAATAAAAGAGAATATAACAGCTCTGCAGAGCTTCACTGTGTAGTGAGTGTTTGTTAAGAGCCTCTATTTGGACTTGCGGCCTTGTTTGGAGTGTGCCTCTTTCTGGTGTGTTGTTTGACAAAGAGGCTCTCAGAAAATACACATGTGCACAAACACACACACACATAAACACTCCCCACAAATGGTATCAATGGTTTTCTGGCGCATGGAAAATTAGTGCATGTTTAGTGGGTGAAAGCGGCATCCCAAGGTCTTCCATCCGTTGACTGTTCTGCGTTGGAGTTAATCATTTCTGTGACTATTCCCGCG